CAGGCTGATGGCGGGAGAATGGCATGAACGCCGGAGGTGGATCTTGAGTGAGCCGAGATCACGCCACTGCCTCCAGACCTGGAGCACATGCGAGACCCGTCTCAAAAAAAAAAAAAAATACAAAAATTAACTAGCATGGGGCGGTACCTTGTAAGTCCCAGCTACTCAGGAGGCTGAAGCAGGAGAATGGCGTGAACTCGGGAGCGGAGCTTGCAGTGAGCGGAGATTGGCACCACTACACTCCAGCACTGTGCCAGAGCGAGACTATCCGATCTCCGAAAAAAACCCAAAAATTATCTTTTAAGTTTTTCTTTCTTGAGATGGGGCGTTGCTCCTGTCCTCCACAACACGCGCGCGCGCAAGAGAGAGATGCGACAGGCAGCAAGACCCCATCTCCCAAAAAGAAAACTAAAGAATATTTTTTTTTTTTTTTTTCGAGACGAAGTCTCGCCTCACCAGGCTGGAGTGTAGTGGTGCAATGCTCCCGCCACTGCACGCCTCGCCTCCGAGTTCGACGCCATTATCCTCTTGCTCAGCCTCCTGTGAGAGCTGGGAATCAGGGTACCGCCGCCATGCCTAGTTAAGTTTTTTCGTTATTTTTTTTTTTTTTTGAGACGCAGTCTCGCTGTGCTCCCAGGCTGGAGTGCAGTGGCGTGATCTCGCTCACTGCAAGCTCCCCTCCCGGTTCATGCCATTCTCCGCCTCACCTGAAGTAGCTGAACTACAGCGCCCGCCACCACTGCCCGGCGCTTCACACTCTCCGCTCCCTTCCCCCCCTCTCCCGCTCTCCCCAAGTGGCCCGCCTTCCGCGCCGCGCCGCCCCGCTACCACATCTTCAAATGTCTCTGCGGTTTTCAGACCAACCCTCCCCCCACCCCCCAACAACCAAAAAACAAAGAAAAAAAGCAAAACAAATTTCCACGACTAGACCACAAGTGGACAAGATAAGGGGGAACTGGGGATTGACCTCTGACCTCCACTTTCTACTCCAAATTTCTTCCTGAGGGTACTGGAGTTGGTCACACCCACGAGCCAGAGCTAATATTCGTTTCTACTGACGCTGCGTTTTTAACAAAGCTTCTCTTCATCAACTGCAAATTGGAAAATCTTTGACTCTACCTATGACCGGTAAGCCCCCCACTTCAAGATATACCAGCCTTTTAGGCCAAAATCAATGTGTAACTTTTATATATTAATTTACCTTTTTGCCTATGACTTCTGCTCTTCTAACATTTACCCCTGCCTTTAACAACCCTTACCTGTGAGCCACCAAGGGTGCTGGGACTTAAGCATGAGCTGCCTGATCCTCCTTGCTGGACACCTCACAAATACACACTTTCCTTTCTACCACAGCAAACCTCGGTGCGGATGTCTGGCCTTACATTGCTGGGTGAATGGACTCCAGTTCAGTTCTCAAACAGGTGCCCAAGAGGAAATACTGACCCCTCCCCCAGGTCACACAGACGACAGATGATGTTCAAAAGAAGGCCCAAGAAGGTCACGCCATTCTCCTGCTTCAGCCTCCTGAGTAGCTGGGACTACAGGTACCGCCACCATGCCTAGTTAAGCACAAAGGAGATTCATTTAAACCACCACTGCTATAGATTACGCGTGTGACGCACTGCTTCTCTTTCACCATTTCGCCCTGAACGTCTGCTTCT